CTTCACAAGAGAACAAATAATTTACACTAATGTCCCGAGCTGAATCTCAAACCCCAGTTAATAATTGGCTGAAACATAATGGAAAATCATTTTCTAAAGGCAATGCTTAACATTTCAGAATGCAGCAAAACTGTATTTATACCACATTTAAAGTTCAAATGAAGGGCGCCTGGGTGGCTCAGTCAGTTAAGCGTCCAACTTTGCTCAGGTCATGATCTCTCATGGTTCGTGAGTTGGAGCCCCGCATCGGGCTCTGTGCTGACAAACAGCTTAGAGCCTGGAGCCTGCTTTGGATTCTATGTCTCCCTCTTTCTCTGTTTCTCCTTCTCCACTCATGCTGTGTCTCTCAAAAATAAAATAAATGTTAAAAAACATTTTTTAAAAAAGTTCAAATAAACGTCTCTTGTGAGACTATGCCATCTAAATTAGGATGTATACCATAAGTGTTGGGCTAAAACCAAACCAAACCAAACCAAACCAAACCAAACCAAACCAAACCCATGTATTATCTTGGGGCAGATTTAATGTAATTAACACACATTTCTTTGGAGCCAACACTTCAGGAACTTGTCAGCCCCGTATTGAGTTAGGCCCGTGCAACTGGCATATGACCTGAACCTCCTGATGGACCATGGGCAGTTAGTACTGACCTTCCATCAGATACTCCCTCCATGGTCCTTCCTTCCTGGCCAACAGTATCTAGAGTTGAAGAGGGCTGGGTCTTCGGATGGGTCAAGGAGAGGATGGGTATGTTGGCTACAGCTTTGTTTTCACCTTTCAACAACCAGGTCCCTCTCATAGCGTTTGGGATCACAAATGGACAATTGAGCAGAAATGTAGTAAGTCTGAAGTGTTTACAACTGTTGCTGTGTTTCCTCAGGAAATTCTAAAGGAAAATTTAAGGATGTTTGAATTAGTTCAGAAACACCCATCACACTGGCCTCCCTTTGTTCCTCCAGCCAAGCCAGAAGTGACAACCTCTGGGGCAGGTAAGCCATTGGTCCGGGGCTCTTGGGCCAGCAGACCTAGGCGTAGCAGTTGTTTTATGAGACAGAAGCAATGGTGGCCCATGTTTCCATGGAATGTACAATTTCCACTCAGCTGGTCTGATCAAGGAATGATGACTTTAATCTACTGAGGAACTGATACTTATCAATTTCCAAGAGGGGCAGTAGAAGAAAATGAGCTCGATGCAAAAGTTCCTTGCAAAGTCAAAATGCCTAGAACTTTCATGGTCTGGTTCAAAAAACAAACCAGAGGCCATGGGTGATTCGAAAGCTACCTCAAAGATTACAGAGTCTCATCCTCATCACTATGAATAAGACTAGGTAACAAGTTCCATTATTTAGCTTCTTTATAAAGAATTTCTAGCACTCGTCAGTGGCCCCATCTGTGGGTCTCCTCTACACATGCTTTTCTGCAGCAAAATTATTAAAACGTGCACAGTCTTGGGGCATCTGGCGGGGGCTCAGTTGGTTGAGCATCCAACTTCGGTTCAGGTCATAATCTCACAGTTTGTGAGTTTGAGCCCCACATCAGGCTTTGTGCTGATAGTACAAAGCCTGCTTGGAATTCTCTCTGTCTCTCTCCCTCTGTCCCTCCCCGACTTGTGTTTGTTCTCTCTCTCTCTCTCTCTCTTAAAATAAATAAATAAATAACTTAAAAAAAATTAAAACATGCCCAGTCTTAACTACTGAGTACCATATGGACCACTCCAACCTAAGTGTCAAGCTTTCTTCTTTTTCATTTCCATATCCTGATAGAATTCATCGACTCTACTGAGCAACTAGAGGAGTCTGACCTGGAGGAAGATTTCGAAATTCTGAGTGTATAGAATAATGGAACCTCATCTTGGTGATCTGTCTTCCACCTGGCACCAGAAGAACACGAAGCCCTTACATAACACTTTTCTAGTCAGCAAGTGCCTGATATGCCAACAGCATACAAACTTGATAGCAATCATGACTGAGCCAATCACCATTTCTCGAAAAACAAACAACAAGCAACCCTTCCCCAGAATGAACTAGAACAATCATGGAATGTAGGAGCAGACAGATTAGGAGCTGTCCCTTGCTTCCCAGCTTGTCTTACCTGGCCACTGCAAGTCTTCAGCTACTGAAACGAGAAGGTGGTCAGACAGCAACTCCCACCTTGCTTCCAGCACCAGCAGAGGAGAGATGGTTACCCTGTGCTTCTTCACCCTTTCAGGTGTGACCTCTTTGGGGCTAAATACTAAGAAGCAATCTATTCTCTTTCTCTAATAATAAAGTGATTGCATCAGGGAGAGAAAGTTCTTGTTAAATTATTTGAATATGTGTTTTAAATAATTATAATTTACATCAAAAATGTGTCAAAGAAACTATATCAAACGTGCACTCATTGGCCTCCTTCCTATTTGAGGGAACCTCACCATTTGATGGGTTACTGTCACCGTCCTTACTGATGTTTTTTGTCAGATGTCACACTATCCGTAAATCAAATCATGATCGCTTAAATCAGGGGTTGGCAAACTTTCTGTGAAGGGCCAAATAGTAAACATTTTGGGCTTTGCAGGCCACGTGGCCTCTGTCACAGCTACTCAGCTCTGCTGTTGAGGTGCAAAAGCAGCCAAATACAGCGTGCACACAAATGAACGTGGCTGTAAGCCAATAAAACTTTATTTACAAAAACAGGTGGCGAGCTGGATTTGGCCTGCAAGCTGTATAGTTAGCCAGTCACTGACTTAAATGTTGATTTGGGGGAACTAAAAAATTGTGTCTCAATTAGACTCCACTTTGGTTGGCAGTCATAATTAGAAAAAAATTATTCATGTGCTGACATTTAATCTTAAGTACATCAGATGCCATTCCAAACCACTTCAGGATGAGCAACAGAGTAAATCTTAAAATCTCTTCATCAAATTGGCTTTGCTAAACACTCTTTTGTGTGGATAAACCTCAAGTCCAAGTGGTGTCTTCCCATTTTCCTCTCCTTACCTGTTAACTTGTGTGCATTTCACCTCCCTCCTCCACCAAGTCCCAAGGAAGGCCAGCAACACAGCTTGAAAGCTCACACAAAACCCAAGTTTGCTTTGTTTTGCTTGTATATTTAGGAACATTAGAACATTTGTCTCCTTAAATTCAATTTTATTCTTTTTTTTTCCCAGTAGGTAGTATATTACAGTGGTTCAAAATTCAAAAGGTGCAAAATGGTATGCAGTGAAATGTCTGTGTCTCCCACAGGTCAGTTCCCTTCCTGAATGCTCCCAGTGTCGTTACTCTCTTGTTTATTGGCCCAGAATATCTATATTCTGCATATACAAATATATGCATATATGTCTTAGATTTGGTTTCAACAACCTCGTTTCTCTACTTTCGATTTGTCTATAAAGGATCCTGTAGACCCAGAGAATAAAAACCCATTTCTTGAACTCTAGCCTGGATAGGGCTAAAAACAGTTATAGGCATATTTTGAAACAAGTTGTAGATTGGTTGCCTTCAGCCATTTGACTTTAATTGTATTTTTCCTGCCTCAGTGTTTTCTTGTAAAGCTCAGCTTGCATTAATAGGCTCAGGGCGGTGCGGGGGTGGGGTTCACAAATTGTAGTGAGACGGACTTTAGAAAAGTTTTCATCAAAGAATGTCAAAAGAGTCAAATGTTGATATTTAATTCCTTTTATTTGCAATATACAAGGCTGGCACCATGCTTATTACTGAGATAGGAGGTGAAAGTAACAATAACACAGATTATACTGATTATGCTTGGTCTGTGTTGGCATAGTTTACATAATATTTAAGGAAACAGAATCAGCTGGAAGGAATCACCTCATGTCAACATAGCTAAGTATTCTGGGAAAGTGATAGAGGAAATGGTGAAAACACATCCCCTGAATAGAATACAATATACTTTATAGTCAACTCAGGTTTTCTTTAGGTCTGCCAACTGCTAGAGAGAGGAGTGTGCTAGATTTTTATGAGGTTTAAAACCGTATTAAAATTGTTTAACAGGCTACCTGTGAAAGAGCAGTTGGATGGACATTTTAATGGAAAGTCTCTAACAGCCTCAAAGCGCAAAGGACCCAACACACCGGATCTTCGATCTGCCACCTTGCACACATCTGGATGGCATTTGAAATAAACAGGGACTTCTGAGAAATTGGGCCAAGGGATTTGCCTTTGCCTTTTTGTTCCTGGAGTCAAAAGCAAAATTCACACCTCCTTACCCATCCACCTCTCTAACCCCAGCCTGGGAGAAAGGGCTGTGGTTCTCATTTCCCTTGGTGGGCCTGGATGCATTTGGGGCATCCTCTGCTCTACTCTGGACCAGGCCAAGTCCTAGGTCTCTGGCTGGGGAGGGAGCCAGCAAGGAGGAAGTGATTTGTCTACGACCCTATGAAGTTAATGAGCTCCCCTTCTAAGCATTATGGGGCCCAGTTGTGCTCACCCTCCAAGGAGGCAAAGCTCACCCCAGGCTACTGGCTGGCACCCCATTCCAGGTCTGCTGCCTGCCTAGACACAGTGCATGTCCTTGAAGAGTGAGAGCTTGCCCCATGCAGGCTTGAGCCATCCATGAACATTCAGCCAGAGGATTCTTGTTTTTAATGTGGAAACACTGTGTTCTGGTTTAAGCCAAATAATGCATGGTGCTCTCTGGACATAAAGAAATGACTTACCAGCTATTACAAAGACCTTTCTGATCAAGGCAGTGAGGAAAGCCAGTGGTCTAAGGAAGCAGTAGCCCAGTGGGTCTTTCTGAGGTAGCCATGAATAATCACACAAACATCGGAATCAAATGGTAGCACCAGGTTGACTGAAATGGGACAGCATCTCAGTAGGGTGAGCTCACCCATTGGGCCTGAGGGTTGGGGCGACCAGTGTCCAGTACAGCCCAAATGAGACTCCAACGTACAACTTGACAGGTGGGCAATAGGGCTTGGGCCTTCCTTCTTCAGATCGTTGGGGTTTGTGAGGTGACCGTTGTGTCGGGGAGGGGAGGGCAAGTGGCAGGGTGGCAAACCCCCCCTACAGGCTTTTCATACACACCTGGCAGCGGCTGACCCGGGTATGGAGCTGCCCAGCCTTCAGTGTTTCAGATACAGGTTCCTCCCTAAACTGCTGCCTCTCTTCCACTGTTGTCAGCCAGAAACTGTACTTGTTGGCAAAGTAGTGGCAGGTGCCCCGGGCCCCACTGCACTCGATGAAAGGAGTGGCACGAAAATCCTCCAGGCAGGAGCCGGGTGAGACCAGGGACTGGCCCCCACCCTCGGCGCCAGCAGCAGTGTGCTGAAACAGACAGGGTCAAGTGTGTGAGCTGCACCTGCCATGGGAGGTGTGGGCCCTTCTGAAACGCTGGGCTCTTGGCTCTGCCCCAGCATCAGGAAAGCTGTGTTATAGTACCAGCGTCCGCTCATCCCTCCTTTGTAGCTCCTCAGGGCCAGGAGCGGCCCCTAATGCCCTCCTAACCCACTGCATTTGGACACTGGGTACATCTCAGCCAGCGTCTCCCAAACTGCCGCCGTCCCACTGAGTTTCAAGGTGTGTTTGCTGCCTCTCCGCAAATCTCCACAGACAAATAAGTCTGAGAAAGGCTGGATTAAGGAAGATGCAATAGATTTTGGAAAGCAGGTCTTCTCAGGGCCCTTGTAAACTCCCAGCCCTTGGTGGTGTACTCCAAGAGAGAGAGCGCACAATGCTCCACAAAGTGGTGAAACCACAGGCCCCTCCCCTAGCCTATCAATAGCACTCTGAGGTTACCTTTGTTAGAACTTATGTTTTCAGTCTGCACCACCCCCTTCAGGGCAACATGCAGTGTGTTTTGCTTGCTGAGTACAAGTGGGCATCGCATTTGGCCTAACGTCCTGGCCCTCACTTCAGGGCTCCCTCCGCATACAAGGTCAGGATTTCCCCATCAGTGCCACTCAGCCGACAGTCTCCAGTCACTGTACCCACAGTGGTGCCTGTGTCTCCACTCCCCATCCCCCCTCCTCTCTTCATGTCAGCTGGATTATTATCTGGACCACAAGAGGTGAGGAAGAGGCTTCATACACAGCCGGGTCAGCAAATGGCCAATGGGACAGATGGCCAAATAGGACGCTCAGGGATGGCATACTTTTTGGGACAGTTGGTCTCCATCTAAGTGACCTTTCCTGATAAATGCAGCATCAGAGTTTTCCTCGCTTTGATCCTCAGAAAACTTTCTAGAACAAACAACATGCTTTCCTGACTTACTAAATAGCAGACACTGTATATTTTACATTTTGCACATGACACAGGCTTATTGCTGTGAATGTTGGTTTTTGTGTTGGGCAATTGTGGAGGGGGCCCACACCAAGGGACACAGCTTGTGGAGTCCTTAGGCCACCTCTGAATCCTTTTCTCCCTCATTTCTTGTCTTTAGTAGGCATGTCTTATTGCTTCAAGATGCCATACTAGGCAGTCCAAATTCCCACCCTTATAGGTCTTCAGGAAAATATAGATATTCTAGTATGATAGAATTATGTGTAAAGTAAAAGCAAAGAGATTCTGAATAAGATCTTAAGAGTGATCCCATAAGCAAAACAGGTGAGATATTGTAAAGTTTTTGTAGCATTCCTTGTGGAAGTTCAGGGGCCTTTCCAACGTATTTCCCGGTCTGGGTGGTGGATAGGACAGAATGATAGGTGAGGTGATTCTATATTCCTTTGGGATAAGCTGCCCAATTCACATAGAGCAAAACGACGAAGGGCCTCATCTCAGGTACGTGCACCAATGTGAGGAAGCCTAAGGCTTTGGTGACTCTTCAAAGACACTTTCTCATCATGTCACCCCTGGCAATTTAGTAAAGAAGTTCTGGTGAGCCAGAGTACTTTGGTGGGTGCCACACTGGTTTTACCTGTGAGTTATTCTGGCCCTAAACCTGACTTTTTGCTCATTTAATGTCCCCCGATATTCACGGAATGTCATGGGAGGGACCTGATGCCTCCTTGGGCTTACAGACATTCTCAGCTCTTAGGATCACGACAGCCTTCCCACTGAGATGGAGAAGCAGCAAAAATCCCACCAATGAGGTACAAACACAGCGTGCCCTCATCTGAGTCTTTCATTAGGAGATGACAGTGGCCAGAGGGACCTAGGAGAGGGGGCAGAAGAGGAGAAATGTCCGTGCGCGGCCTGAGCAATGAGAGTATGTCCCGGCCTTCAGTGGGGACAGCCTCTCCCTCACTGTCCACCGGGATCAGGAGTTTCCTCCTTCCCTTGCTTGTGGCATAACTGAAGCAGGCATAAAGATGTTAGGGCCTTTGCTGGTGATTCATAGAAATTCTCATCCCTGGACCACTGAGTGCAAACTGCTCGATTCTATTCATAGAATTACCCATCATTTGTGCAGAGCTGAGCCTGCTTGGTCTTTAGTCAAGGCCAGTCCAAGCATGTTCCTTCTTTTCAAATTCTGTGGTTTCTATCTCATGCCACTTGAGCCTGAGGACCAGCTTGAAGCACCCTCCCAGGTCTCCCTGCGGTCCATCTCTACATTGGGGAAAGGGGGCAGTGCAGGGCCTTACCATGAGGAAGGAGTACCCAATCCAGAGGCTGCGCCAGCCCAGGGGGCACTGCGGGATGGTGATGTCCTGGCTGTGCACAGCAATGGCTTGTGAGGGTGCCTCACACACAGAACAGCGGCTGATGTACTGGGGAATCTGGGTCTGGCCGACGGGCATCATGGGAATGGGGGCGGTGGTGGACAGCCAGTAGGATTTATCATTGCGCCCAGCATAGTGGCACACTTCGTTGATGTTGCAATAGATGAAAGGCATGGTACTGAAGCGGGGCAGGCAGGAGCCAGCAAATCCTGGGAGGAGAAAAGGTGGGCAGGGGCAGGTAAGGTCTGGCTGAGATTATCCCCAGGGCCATTAGGACTGGACTAAATGGGTTTACGTGCAACTGCCTGGACTGGAGCAGGGGTGCCTCTCCTTACAATCCTGGCACACTGTACATACACTCAAGTCTGTGGGTCAAATCCTATTCTCAATGCACCAGGGAAGTTTGATAATGAAAAGAATCTTTTTTTAAGTTCATTTATTTTAAGAGACAGAGAGAGAGAGAGAGACAGACAGACACAAGCAGGCTCTGCACTGTCAGAGAGGATGGAGCCTGAAGCCAGGCTTGAACTCATGAACCATGAAATCATGACCTGAGACGAAATCAGATGCCTAACTGAGCCACTCAGGCACCCTGAAAAGAACGTTTTTATAAGCCATGTAACAACTCCCTAATTAACCTGCTTTGTAGAACTAGCATTTAATAGACCGAATCTGCTGTTCACAGTCTGCACACCTGTAGACAACACAATTAATTATTGGGTAATCACTGCTGCCCCACAGGTCATCTCATTATTACTACTAATCGCTAATGTTTAATGGATACCTAATATGCCAAACATTGTTCTAAGCAGTTTACATTGGGTGATTCATGCAACTCTTACACCACCCTATGAGATAGGTTCTAGAACTAGCTTTGTTTCCACTAAGGGGGAAGTGGAAGCTCAGAGAGGTTGAATAACTTGTCCAGGGTACCCAGCTAGTAAGTGGTAGAGTCAGGGATTAAAAACATTTTTTAAATGTTTTTATTTTTCAGAGAGAGCACACACAACTGAGCAGGGGAGGGGCAAAGAAAGAGAATCCCAAGCAGGCTCTGCGCTGCCTGACGTGGGGCTCAAACCCACGAACTTTGAGATCACGGCCTGAGCCAAGATCAAGAGTCAGACGCTTAACCCAATGAGCCACCCAGGCACCCCGGAGCCGGGGTTTAAACCTAGGTGTGCCTGATGCAACAGCTGGTGCTTGTTACCCACCACCAGTGGGCCCACCTAGGGCTAGGAGGACTGAAAAGGGTGGCTCTAGGTCCTTGGGATGGATGGCCATGGCTGGTGTCAGAGCCGGTACTTACCCAGGTCCTGGTTGTGGGCTTTCTCCTGCCCCTCCACGAACAGCAAGCTGTAACCCACCCACAGCTGGCTCATCCCGACGGGACACAGGGGCACCTGTTCCGACTGGCTGTGCTTCACCAACGTGTAACCCACTCTCGCGCTCTGCCCAGGCATTCCAGCCGTCCCGAAGGGACCCTTCTTCCCTGGAGCTCCTGAGAGGGAGAGAGCAGAAAAGGGGCGAGCCAGTCATAACAGCAGCTACTGACGCTGTGCTGAGCATTGAGCAGGGCACATTGTATACACACGCATGTTAGCTCACCGGATCCCCTTATCACTCCAGTTTGTAGATAAGGAAACAGGCTCAGAAGTCCCACAGCTGGTAAGCGGTAGACCTGGAATGCCAACTCAGAGGAATCCAGCTACGGAGTCCCGTGTTTGAAAAAGCATGCTATCCAGCTTCCCTCCCACGGTCACCTGGCCTTGGGTCCTCTACAAGGGGATGAGGGGGCGGAGGGGGCTACTTCTTGGACCCTGCAGGCTCTCACAGGACATAAGTATACCTGCTGAATCTGAGGCAGCAATAGCAGAATTAGGGTTGGCAGGACAAAATCACACCCTCTCTCCCGCCCATGCAACGTGGCTAGTTAATCACACCACTTTCCCACCGAGCCTTGGAACTGTTCTCTACTCAGGACAACTGGTTTGCCATCTCTGATATAAAATGGGAGCTAAGTAGCGGCCATACGTTATCTCGAATTTTCTTGTCCCTTGAATCATCCCCTGCCCATCCATGTCAGAATCTGTGGGCAGAATATGGGCAGTGAGGGGCAGGGGTGGGGCATACTATAGTCACAGCTCTCAAGAGCTGGAAGAGAACCCAGAAAAGGATTTGAAAGAGTCCTTTGCCTTCCAGAATGTAGGGCTCTAATCCTTCACAGGCTCAGAGGTGGGTGGGAGCGAATGGAATACAGTTCGGTTTTCCAGGCTCTTCGTAGTGCCAAACTTTACTGCCAGGTTTCCTGTTTCTCAGCTGTGAGATTCTGGCTCACCCCAAGGCCTCATACCCTCACAGAAACCCTCTGCTCCCTAGTGCTGACATCACCAGACCTTCGAGTCCTGGAGGGCCTTGCAGTCCAGGGAGACCAGGATCACCAAGAGGCCCAGGTGGGCCAATGAGTCCGTTGAGACCATCTTTTCCAGGGATGCCAGGTAATCCTTTGGAGCCTGCAAGGAGAGAAGGCTCACAGCAGCATACTCAATGGGGGAGGTCCAGAAGAGCCACCCCAGAGGAAAAGGACTCATGTGTCATGCCCAGGACTCACCAGGAGAGGGCGCACTTGCCATCATTTTAGAGCCCTCAGAGCTGAGCCTCCCGGGGCTAGTCCTTAGATGGAGTCTGGACATCTGTCCTGGGACCACCACTCTGAATTTAGCCTTTCTGAGTCGCCTCACACCTATTTCCTCCTTCCTTCCTCTCCTCCTCCCAGCGACGCATACAATGCACAGAACCTGCCAGCGTCCCTTGTCAGAAACGAGGACCCCTAGGCCCAGAGAGACTACTAACTTACCCCAGTTGGTGCAAAGCTGGGATTGGAAGCTGGGTTTCCTGTCCCCCCAGCCCTGGGCTTTCTCCATTGCTCTTTATCCCCCACCACACTCTCACCTTCCCTCAGCAGCACATGAGAGAGGGACAAGCTGGCTGGAGTAGTTGCTATGCTCTGCCCACACATTCTCTAAAGCCAAGTAGAACTGCTGACCCAGCTGGCTCCCCTTCCTGGCAAGAAGCTTGGGAGCTTCATGAAGGACCAGAGGAGATGCTTGATGCAGGTGCCCCCTTGGGGCTGGAGTTCCCAGCTAGTAGCTTCAGCTTCTCAGCCAAGGCTATCTTAGCTCCCTGAGAAGTCCCCTTTCTCTGGTGCTGGTGCCCTCCTTACCTTGTAGGCCTACAGGGCCTTGAACCCCAGGGTCTCCCGTGAGGCCAGGGATGCCATCCATGCCCGGTTGACCCATGGGTCCAGGAGGAACCTGGACAGCTTCTGCAATTGGTGTTTGTCCAGGAGCACCCCGGGGTCCGGAAAAGCCTGCAGGCAAGCGGGGGACATGGAAATAGCAGGTAAAGGCAAAGGAGGCATGGGTCCCCAGAAGCCTTCCTTTCCACCTCACAATCACCAGCTTTCTACTTTTCCTGTCCCCCCTACCCCACCCCACAGTGCCCATTAGACACCTCTGGGGTGACTGCCACCACGCTTTACACAATGTCCCCCTTACGGATCTATCTCCCCAGCGAACTGGGAGATTCTTGAAGGCAGGGAATGGGTTATATTCATCTTGTTTCCTCAGGACCCAGCACAGAGACTGGTACGTGGTAGGCAAGTCAGGAAATGTTTGTTGCAAATAAGGTGGGCTGAGCTTTGGCTCAGGGCTGGGATGGTTGGTTTATTCACTTACTGGTCAGAGAACAGGGCCAAGGAGGCCAAGGGGATGCATCCAACCTCAGAGATTCAGTTGGCATCACAGCCTAGGACCCTGAGCCTGGCCTGCTGGTTTACTAAGAGAAGCCAAACAAGTCAATTCGCTTACTAATTCATTGAACAAATATCTCAAGTGCCTACTATGTGCCACACCCTGGTAGATTAAGGGATGGAGGAGTGAATAAGACAGACCCGTTATGGGGATTATGGTCTGGTGATAAAGATGAAAAATGCATAAACTGACAAATACCGTTAGTCTTACTGCAAGTTGTGAGAAGTGCTACAAAGGAAATGAACAGTGCAGTGACAGCGACAGGGAGCAGAGGGCGCTATGGAGTGGAGAGCCTGTTTAGAAAGAGTGACAAGTGGCCCCTTACAAGCAGTGACATTTAAGCTGAGGCCATTAAGGAATAGAAGGCGTGGGGCGCCTGGGTGGCTCAGTCGGTTAAGCATAGGACTTTGGCTCAGGTCATGATCTCCCAGTTCATGATTTCAAGCCCCACATCGAGCTCTGTGCTGACAGCTCAGAGCCTGCAGCCTGCTTCAGATTCTGTGTCTCCCTCTCTGTCCCTTTCCTGCTCGCTCTCTGTCTCTCTCAAAAACAAACAAACATTAAAAAATTTTAAAAAAAGAAGGACCTGGGGGGCAGAGGGGCAAGAGTATTCCAGGAAGTAGAACTAGCATGTGCAAAGGCCCTGCAGTCAGCCCTGCAGAAAGAGGCTTGTGTGGCAAGAACAGGAACACAAAAAAAGAAGGGCTATGATGAGGATGAAGAGATAGGTATCACATAGGACTTTGTGAGCCATAGTTTATTCCTATGCTATGGGAGGCCAGGGGGTGATTTATGTTTTTTAAGATCCCTCTGACCACTTTGTGAAGAAATAATTGTTGGGGGAGATGCACAACAGAGGAGGAAACAGAGAGATCAGGTAGCAAGTCACTGCAGTGATTCTCACGCGAAATGTCAGTGCCTTGGACCTGGGTGGCAGCAATGGAGGTGCTTAGAGGTGAGCAGATGCGAGGCACAGTTAGGAGACGTGACCCTCAGGGCTTGCTAATGGATTGGGTGCAAGCGAGGGGGATGGTGGTAAAGGATGGAGAGTGTCGTTCTTCCTTTCTGGATTGAGGAAATGGGTGAGTGGTGATGAGTGCAAACCAATGCCTGCCGATGCAGAAAGAATGTGGAGGGGAGATCAGTGGGCTGGACCCATGGTGGCAATGGTCTTCAGTCCTGGGAGCTGATGGAGGCAGAGATATCCTCAAGGTGGGGAAATAGCCTCCAGGGAGGAGCTTCATCCTGCTGCCCCAGACATCCAGGCTTTCTTAGCGTGAGTCCTATAGGACAATTACCCTCAGACCCATCCCTCGAGGGAGCTCTGGATCAGCTGGGTACATGTTCTTAACTCACCTCTTGGCCCTGCCTTCCCCTTCATCCCGGGAAGTCCTGGGTCTCCAGGTGGCCCAACCTTGCCTGGAATCCCCATGAAGCCAGGCTCACCTCTCATGCCTGGTAAAGTCCAAAGGAAAGCAAGTCAGGGCCTGGCATGGTGGTGCTGGTGGGGGTTGGAGGGGTTGAGACTAGACAGATTTGAGGGAAAGAAGAACATTCTTAGCTGGCCTGTCTTCACAGGGCTGCAGGACGGAGCTGTCTCTAACTGCAGACTGGGTAAGGGCCCAACAGCCAGCCAAGCAGCCATACCTTTCAGTCCTAGCTCTCCAGGAAGGCCAGAGAAACCTGGAATTCCTTGGTCTCCCTTGGGCCCTTGACGGCCAGGAATTCCAGGGAAGCCAGGGTCTCCAGGGTCACCTTGATCAGAGGATAGCCCAGGGGGCCCTGGGGGCCCTGGAGGGCCTGGGCGGCCTAGGGATAAGATCAGAGAGGAATGAAGGCAGGTGAGAAGGAGGTGGCCACCACTGAAGGCCTCGGGGCTAATAGCAAGCCAAAGCCTGTTCCCAGGGCAGAGAACATTCCTTTGCTGCATCTGGGGTCCCAGTGCCTGGACCTTCCCAAACCCTTTTTGCAAATACAGCCCTTTGCAGTCCCCCGTGTCCCTGTTGGGGGAGAGACATGAGGCCATGCAGGCCCATGCACATCCAGCAGTAGGAATGGGGCTGGACTGTATTAGGATCTCCCCAAACTGCGGACAGAAGGCAAAGGCCAAACCTCTTTTGGGTTTCCTGTCTTTACCTCGCTCTCCATCTAGGCCTGGTCGCCCGGGTTCGCCAGGCTGTCCTCCTATGACTGAAGGCAAGGAGAGGCCTGGGGCACCGGGCAGACCAGCAGGTCCCTGGAAGCCTGGGAAACCTGCAAATAATAAATAAAAGGGGCTGCATGGGCTTCGTGTGGCCAAGCTCTCAGAGAAAATGGAAATTAAAGCAGAAAAAGTGGAAGCGGCTAGATAGGGGGCCAGACCGGAGAACGCCAGCAGAGGGCGCTCTCCCTTCAGTCTCCCTTTGCAGCCGGTAGAGGAGCACGGGTCTCACACACGCTGACACACAGGGTCTCAGCGACTCCGGGTTCCCTGTGCCCCGTCCCCCGCCGACAGCAGGCGCCGTAGTTCATGGGGATGGACCTTTGGAAAGTTCTAGCTCCCAGCGTCGCTGGAAATGAAAATATTTTAGACAGATTTCCCTCAAACCGGGAAGAAAAGAAAGTATGACTGCAGCACCTGGAACTGAAGTCACACATTTTCATTAAATTAGCCAGTTATGTCTGATGGTGCCCAGAGAAGGTTACAAACTGAGGTGAGGCACCGGCTCCAGCGAGTCCGAACAGACACCTGCTGGGTCAGAAATGGAGGTTGCAAGGACGCTGTGACTCCCAGTGTCTTCTAGGGCTAATTTCTGGGTCTTCTAGGCAAACTCAAAAATGCTTTTATAGGTAATTCATGATACCAGCTGAGTGCTTGCTTAATTGCCAATAGAACAAATTTGTCTACACTAAATCCCTTCCCCCTTTTTGGTCAAAGAAAAAAGCCATTTATTAGAGTAGATACAAGAATACTTGTTTGCTCACGTTTTAATATTGCGTGTTTTATGTTTGCGGAGCGATGTCTACTGTAATGTTCAAAACCAAAAAATTTCAACTGCTTAGGGAAGATTTATTTAACATTCACACGTCAACTACATACATGGAAACTATATGGGAAAACACATCGAAGCCATAGATACAAATGTAGAAGTCCATATTATACTTCTAGTATGAAAGAGATGTATTTATTATTTTGGTATCTTCTAGAAGAAATTCAAATGAAGAGAAATAGATTCACACTGGTTGATAAAGTATTCTGGGGGTTGAGATGATTTTTGTTTGTTTGTTTGTAACAATAAAATCCAAAAAGATTAGTGTGGAGTTATATTTTTCTGACAAGGAAGCCAAAAATATTAATGTTGAGTTTCTCATATTTAAGTAAAGAAATGGCAAATCCATAAAAACGTGTAAAGAAAGATGGCAGATTGGTTAATTCAGGTGTTTTTTTAACAGCTCATTTGTTAACTGAAAGTTGAGGAAATATAAAGAATAAAAAAAGAAATTTCAAGAAAATTCTCCAATTATTATAGATCTGGAAAAGAAACAAAAGGAAAACAAAAAGAAAAACTAGCTTCAAAGTCACATGGTGCTACTTTTAGTATGGTCAGTTATGTCTCGATGAATCTTTGAAGTATTTTTCTTTTTCACAAGGGTAAAAATCTGAAAAGAAAGACATATTGTTTTTTTTCCTGAAAATATACCTTTATATGTAATACATATCTATGCTGAAATTAAGTGAAAACCAATAAATAAGACATCATATAGTAGTGTGGGCAGCACACAGATTGTTAGAAGCTCCCATAGCAGTTTTTGGAGCTGCCTTCTCTTTTTACCTGTTTCTTGATTTTAGAATTACACCAATATATCATTAAACCTGAAACAGAGGTACTTCTGATCTCAAGTAGTAAAAAAAAAAAAAAAGAAAAGAAAAAAGAAAAAAAAAAGAAAGAAAGAAAAGAAAAAAGAAAAAAAAAGCTCGCATATTTCTTTAAGAATGAGACACTTTAAATGAGCACATGAAAATGCACAATGGCATGTTTTTCCAACTCATTTCGGTGTCAGAGACTTAAAATAATCCCTAGGGGCACTTGGGTGGCTCAGTTGGTTAAGTGTCCAACTTCAGCTCAGGTCACGATCTCATGGTTTGTGAGATGGAACCCCGCATCGGGCTCTGCTCTGACAGCTCGGGGCCTGGAGCCTGCTTCCCTATTTTGTGTCTCCCTCTCTCTCTGCCCCTTCTCCTCTAATACTCTCTCTCAAAAATAAACATTTAAAAATTCATAAAAAGACAGAAAACCCTAAATACACAAATGCAGCTTCTAAATATTTAGTGCAAATATGAAAATGAATGGCATAATTCAGAATTATTTAGATAAAGGTATTACAGGGACAAGGATCGCTTTTGGAAGTTTGCTTAGGGGTAAATCTTCATTTTACACTGATTTCTATGATCATGTCAGAGATAGGTTCCTCTGGGGGGGGTATGATATTTGCTGTATACTTTTAAAACATTGTTTTAATTAGATACTGAGAAGAGCAGAAGAATATTTATAAATCATAAGTAAAAAATAACCCAGATACAATAAACACCTCTGTTCAAATGACCCAATTTAAGAAAAAGAAGATAACATTACCTTTGAATTTCTGTGCATGCCCTTTACAGATCCTACCCTCTTCCTTGACTCTCGGGGGCAACCACTCCTGAATTTTGTGTTCAGCACCCCCACGCTTTGCCCATGTATATCTGTGTCCCTAAACAATATATTGGTTGTTTGCATTTATTTATAAACTTTTAACAGTGGGATCATACCCAACGTATTTCTCTGCGACTTGCTTTTTTTTTTTTTAATCAACATTATGTTCCTAAAACGTATCCATCTTGACATGTGCTGTTTACTGAATTTGTAATTGTGATTTTTATTACCTCAGACAGCGAAAGGAAATGGATAATTTAATGGCCAGGCATTCATAGTCAAGATTTGAAAACATTTGGGTTTTGCTTCTATCTGAGTCCCCTCTTTGCTACCTCCTGTGAAAGAAGCCACACAATCTCCCTACAGGCTCAGGCTGTGTTTGAGCTTTCCCTCTGGAGAAGCTGCTGGCTTTCAGAAAAGAACAGGTTTGTCCAGACCAAAGGAAAGAGTAAATGCAGACAGAGCAGATGCACCAATATAAAATCCAGCAGAAAATGAATTAATGTAGGAATTAGATCCTGGAAAACATACACACATTATACAACCATGCACATAAACAAATAAAGTGTGGTAGGACCTCAAGCCCTAGAACTATAACAGAGGAACAGAGCATTTTGCAAACATGATTTCCTCAGGTACCACGCAATGATATACTGGGCAACATTTCTTGAGTACTTACAATGTGCCAGGTGCTGCACTAAGTGCTTTTATACGTATTACCTCACTCCTCATTGATTCTCCACCAAACCTGTGCAGTAGATTCTCTTATTATGCCCATTTTCCAGAAAAGGAACATTAAGAGTTCACTGGGGATTGAGGGACAAGTAAGTTCCTTGTTCAAGGTCATACAGCTAGTGAGACGTAGAGCTGGAATTTGAATCCAATGGTCTGATTTCAGAGCCCATACTCCTAGCTGTGATGCTACATTGAATTCATTTCCTGTTTTACATTGAGTGCAATGTATATGGGTCTTCAGAACATTTCTGAGGAGAGTTAAAGAATCAGAATTAATTCTATTTGTGAGGTGGGTAGAGGGAGGCTCAGAGACTTCAGAGGATATGATGAGTCAGGGGCCAAGATCAGGGCAAAACCTGTTTGCTAGTAACCTATGAATCCTAATTGAGTGCTTGTGTGTGCCTGTCCTAGGGAGACATTTATCCTCTTAGTCTTGGGCTCCTTCCAGCAGCCGCACTGTCTTCTCAGGGTCTCAGGAGGGTGATCCACGCTGGACATTGAGGAACTTCTGGCAAATCTCTTGCTAAGTGGACAAGCCCTGTCCCTCGGGGCCATTAATCTCAGGCTTTGGCCAAGTGGGCAAGACAGACCCTGAGGTTAATAAGGGAGAGCAGGAGGGAACTCACTAGACTATTCCTTGACACTCCTTCCAGGAAAGCCCTAGCATTGTAGCATGGCCTCCCTTCTCTTTCTCAGAAGTCAGTTCTACTGGGTTCTGAGATCCCCAGAAGTGTGAAGACATGCACAATCCCCAGTGAACTCTTAACTCTCAACCCTGTAAGCCACATGGTCCTGATGAGCCCCAGCCTTGGCTCCCTAGCCAGGCCTTACTCAACTTCTATAAGGCCTGACTTGGGCCCACTTACCTCGACCACCTCTCTGTCCTTTCACTCCTGGCTTCCCTGGGGCTCCGATGCCAATTCCTGGAGAACCTTTTTCCCCTTTGGGACCAGGCAGGCCAGCTGGCCCAGGCACACCGGTTATACTAGGTCCTAGGAGGAGAAGCAGAAAGAGGAGGACAGAACTCAGTGCAGGTGAGGCCTTCATGCCTCGCTCACTTGCTGGAGGCCTGCCTGACATACACAAGAAGCTGAATACTGACAAAACAGGAAGGAGAGCTCATTCTGGATAGAAAGACAGACTCTTTCTTCCTTTCTCCACAAATCAAGGCACCTCAAATTGGGGGCTGGCAAGGAGATCCATGAGTTTAAGGATATAGGATACAACACAGTTGAGAACTCATGGCCAGCCCTTGCCAGCCTTCTGGAAGAACTGGCACTCTCCTGCTTGCCCTTGAGGATCTTCCTAACCTGGAGTTCCATGGGTTCCCTTGGTTCCTGGAAGCCCATTCAGTCCATGTAAACCAGGAAGTCCAGGGAAACCTGAGAGGAGAGAAGATCAGAAATGGCTCCAGCAACTCTGAATCAGGAAGGGTCCACAAAAGGTCTTGCCCCCAAGGGCACTGCAAAGATTGGGGTCTTCCTAGAGGCATAACTTAAGGCCCTCAGGGAGACCGAACCACCCCTAACCTCCACTCTCCACCTTTGCTTTTCCTGACTCTCAGTAGAAACCAATACAGCTTTAAGAGCAGGGTGGTAGATAATTACATATCTTCAAGAATGCCAAGTGGCAATGCCAAGGTCTTGAGTTGCCAGCTCTCAGAGACTCACTGCCCAATCTTGAAGTCAGGGAAAGGCTATATATACCAGGACAACAACTTTCCTCGCTAACTCTTCTCTCCATGGATTCCATGTTCTCCTCTTCCCATTCTTGCTTGCCCTCCATTCCTCCTCCTCCTCCTTCCCCCTTCCCATTATCTATCACACGGTCCCATCAATGACTCCCCTGGATGTGGCTTGCCCCAGATAGTGTCTCACAATATAAAGTAGTTGCTGTTCTTTTTTTTTTTTTTGGTGGGGGGAGCAGAAACCCTCTCCCCACTTCCTCCTCTAAAATACATACCTTTGGTTCCTATTAGGCCAGGGGCTCCCAGGGGCCCAGTGGCCCCTGGATGGCCTGCAGAACCCGGTAGCCCTGGATTTCCTCTCATGCCTGCAATCCCAGGGAGTCCTGAAAATGAAAGCAAGGTAGCAGGACAGAAAGGGTCATGGCTTAAAGCTAACCCTTACTTTATCAGAGTAAAGTCGTCCTGTTGCACAATACCTGGGGAGCCAGGAAGGCCAACATCTCCAGAAATACCAACTTTGCCATCTTCACCTTTGCTTCCTGGGAAACCCACGTCACCAGCTAGTCCATCTTTTCCTTTCACACCTACAAAATCAAGAAAGATGCTGAGTGATTAGGCCACATTTTGGGCAATGTATTTCTCCAAGGGAGGGAGGGAGTGAGCAGGAAGGTGAAGCCATTTGACCTGCCAAGAGAGCTAGGTCCAGTGAAACGACTCTGAAAATGATGGTGGCAGCTGTAACTTCCCATTTGAAAGGTGCTGCCCGCTAAGGATAGTAAACTTGTTCTCGAGTGCCCCCAGAAGTAGGAGCAATGGGTAGAAATGTTCAAGAAACTGTTTAGATAACAATAAACTAAGGAGGTTGACGCCATCATCTCAAAGGTCTTATTAGACTTATCTCCATGAGTCTTGAAGGAGGAGCAGGCTAGTTTGCTTGGGGAAGCTGTGGGCTGCCAGTCAGGTAGGAATTTTTCTGCATTGGACTTGCAGAACTTGCAGAACTTGGGGTTGACCTCCCAAGTTCCTCCTGATCCTCAGTGTGAAGGAGTCTGTGAAACACATGAGGTCAAAAGTACAGTGGACTTACCTTTAAACCCAGATGCCCCAGGTTGTCCCTTGAGTCCCAGGCTACCGGAAATTCCAAGGGTCTGGCCTTGATCTCCTGGGGATATAAAGATATTGTTGAAGTGGTCAGGAGAAGCTATAGCTCATTTTGTAGCAGAGATCTTTTGATGGCAAAACCTTTTCAGATTCCATGTAGACAGAGGATATCTTTGACAAAAGTATGCAGTGGGTAGAAGGTAACCAATCACCAAAAAAAGGCTGGGATGCTCTCAGCCTACTGGCAAGAAATGCTGCTACAGGAAGCATATCTCCACTGGGAAGACATTGCTAGTTTCAGTATGGGCAGGGAAGATGATAGAAGGAGGGGCATCAGAACATCACCAGAATGGAACAATGATGGCAGCAAGGATGGGAACTTTTCCTGCCCAGTGGGCTGGGTTCAACAGGGGAAAAGACTGTCTAGAGCCGAGGTTCTCCTCTGTTGCTGAGTCTGGAAGGCACGTGGGTCAAACCACTGTTTGTCACATGTCTATGAGGAGTAGAGACTGCAAATGGGGTTTGGCCAAAGGGGAAATGTAAATCAATTCACTTTCCTTTAAACACAGAGCTTCCTTCCAGAAGAGCCCTGCACCTGCTAGAAATCCACCTTGCTCTGGAAAAACACATTAAAAGAGAAAACGTTTCTCACCTTTTGAACCTGGGAGACCAGATGCTCCTGGGAGTCCAGGAGCTCCACTGAGACCCTGTGAACCCTTTGAAGCAATATGTAAATCATTATTTCTGCCCACTGCTCAGGGCCTCCCATGCTCTCACCCGCCCCCCCTCCCTGAACTGCTGCCTGTATGCTATGGCAGGGGTGAAGTGGGTTGCGGGGTGGGGGGCATCCTCCAGAAGGGAAGGTGATGAGCAAAGGGTAGAAATGCATACTCAGATGTTTTAGGGGAGGGATTCTTTCTGCAGATGAATCCTGGTCTCATCATTCATCACTTCCCAATGCCTATCCGAATTGGAATCTTGGGAAATCAGGTGTGGCTGTTCTGGCAAGTCTCTTACAAAACACAGGACGTGACAGGCCGGGTACTGCAGGTGCACTCTGGAGCCATTATGCACAAGAGGAAGTATTGCTTCACCATGCAGAGCTACAGCCCTCAGCCACAGATTCTGTAAGCTGTGGCTTCCTGCAAGGAACCAGTTAGCAGGCTGTATGTGTGTATACTGGAATCTGAATTTGGGCTAATGTTACCATTTTCAGAGGATAAACTGACTTTATGACTAATGTCCAACACACTATCGGAGTCTGGGAAGTGGGCATGTCAGCTGCTATCAGTATAGTTATTCCTCTGCTATCTGGTATAGTTTTGATTTGTTGTGATGTCCCTACTAAAGACATACACTACCTAGTGCCTTGGGTGGGAGTCTAAGCTCTGGACCAGGTCACTGTGCTCACTGACCCACTACCTAGGATACCTCCTACATTTGCCTTACTTTTTCTGCACAGTGGGATATCTGCTAATTCTGAGCCTTTGCTCATGTTGGGACCCCTCCCACTTTGACTCCATTCCTCTTAGTGCATGAGTAGCAAGGACCATCCAGCTGAGAATGATTTCTTTTGCAGTTGCTTCAGGGGTGTGTGTGTGTGTGTGTGTGTGTTCTCTCCATCAGATGGACTGAGACTTTTAAAGGACAGGGACTTTGGGGCACCTTGGAGGCTCAGTCGGTTAAGCATCTGACTCTTGATTTCAGCTCAGGTCATGATCACATGGTTTGTGAGTTCAAGCCCCACATCAGGCTCTGCACTGACAGTGTGGAGCCTGCTTGGGATTCTCTCTCTTCTTCTCTGCCCTCCCCAGCTCGTGCATGCTCTATCTCTCAAAATAAATAAATAAACTTAAAAAGATAAATAAAGGACAAGGACTTTGCCTGTAAGGAGCACAGGTGTTCTGTGACCTAGTTCATTCAGCCCCTTCAATACTGCTACAAGTATTGCTACTACTTATTTAGAGCCCACTATTTGCCAGATACTGTGCTAATTGCTTTACACATATCATCTCCTTTAATCCTCACTGCTGTCTGAAGGAGGTTTGAATATTGTTCCCATTTTGTGCATATGAGAAAAGTGAGGCTCAGACAAGTTAAGCCATATGCAAAGAATCATAGAGCTAATGAGCCATGGAGCTGAGACTCAAACCCAAATGAATCTCATTGCTACCCCTACTCTACCATCCTGCCTTTTAAGAACCCAGACAAGCTGGTTTGATTATTTGCCAATCGTTGCCTTGCATGGAAGCAGCAATGACCTTCCTGAAATCAAAAAATATCCAGAGGCCTGTACCAAATCCTTATGATGTGCCAGGCTCAATGAGTGATACTGGCAGAGGGGTGCAAACAAAAGAGCAGGTAAGGCAGTTCTTGTTCTCAAGTCATAATGACCTCATTGAGGAAATCAGACCCATGCAGAACTGATTGGGATTCATATAAGCAGTGAGAAATGCAGCATGCCAGCAGGGAGGAAGCTCAGGGACTCCTGGAGGAATGGGTGCCTGGGCTGGGGCCCAGAGCATGGGTAGGCATTGGGCAGTTAGCTGCAGAGTAGCAGGCTCTGGCACACAGGAGAGACAACATGAACAAAGGCCCAGAGGCAGGGACATTCAGGAGAGGGTGGGAAGACCTGTCAGGCTCAATGAGAGGACTCTGTCCAGGATGAGCTGGGGGAGGGGTCTGGGAAGTGGGCTGGGGCCAGAAAGATGGGCAATAGGGGCATGTCCCCCTGCTATGGAGGCCCTTCCCTGGTGGAGAGACAAAGATCTGGGCACACTTACACTTGCTCCTGGTATTCCTGGGAAACCTGTGATTCCAGGGGACCCTTTAAGGCCGGGTAAGCCCCGTAATCCAATGGAGCCAGGGGGGCCTGGTTTCCCATTAAGTCCCTTGATGATACTGGGGAGGCCGGGAACTCCAGGCAAGCCTGGTGGCCCTGGGGGGCCAGCCTCTCCTTTGTCACCTGGGAAAGACACAAACAAGCTTAGAAAAAGGACTCTGGGCAAGAAAAAACCTGCTCCCCCAAGGCGCAGGTACCCTGGATCACAGCTAACCTTGGGGACGGTTAGCTTGGGGGTGAAGGTGTGGGTGGGGGAGGTGCCTTCAGCCTTAGGGGGCACCAGTCAGGGCCACCCCAGCTCTAGCACTGCTAGTGCCCACGCCCCATCATCCGCCAGGCTCCTCCAGGGGTACGACAGCCTCTGGCTCAAAACCTCAGTTTCCTGCAGTGGCAGTGAAAACTGGCAGCCTCAAAGTCCAGCACCCTTCAGGCCCAGAGAAGGCAGACTCCTTGGAACCCCGGTTGCCACCCATACTGCCAGTCTAGGGGGTCTTGCCCTTTCTCAGGAGGGAGGTTAAATTTGAGCATTTCTCTTGCCCCATTGCCTGCCCCAGCACCTCTGGGCCCAGGAAATCCGTCAGATCCAGCTGAGCCTCTAGAGCCTTTGTCTCCTTTCAGCTGCAGGTTCAGGATTGGAGGTTGTGGACTGGGGATTCCAGCTGGCCCTGGGTCACCTCTGTCTCCTGCAGGGGTGGAGATTGCGAGACCCTCGTGAAAGGAAGCTTACACACGGAGTCAGTCATGAGCTGACCATTCATCTCAGCTCTTCCCCTCTCTGTCCCCCCTCCCACCCCAGGCTTCCTTTCTGGGCCCTTTCTTGGCCCTGTTTCCCCAACTTTGCATCAGTGTGCATGCCCTCTCCTTTGACAAGCCCAAGGTTCATCAGCAACTTTGGCCCCACTCAAAAGCCTCCTCCACTGAGTATCTGGGAATGTATGATGGGGCCTCTAATATGCAGTGATAACTCAGAAGTGATTAGATCTCTCGGTTTAAAAGGACTTCATTTAGGGGGGGCATCTGGGTGGCTCGGTCAGTTAAGTGTCTGACTCTTGGTTTCAGCTCAGGTCATGATCTCACGGTTCCTGAGTTCAAGCTTCACACCCAGCTCTGTGCTGACCTTGCGGAGCCTGCTTGGGATTCTCTCTTTCCCTCTCTCTCTGCCCCTCCACTGCTCATGCACTTGCATTCTCTCTCTCACACACAATAAATAAAAACTCTAAAAAAAATAAAAAGACCTCATTCAGAAGCCCCAAATCTTATTATCTAACACAAGACTGTTATAAGCCACACCAGGAACAAAGTTGACACACAAAATGTACATTGGGAAGCATGGCCAGCAGGTTCAGAATTCAGTGCTCCAGCTTACCTTTTTTACCAGCACTACCAGCCCGTCCAGATGGTCCCACCTTTCCGGCTGACCCAGAAATGCCCTTTAATCCACTTGCACCAGGAATACCAGGGAGACCTGGTATCCCTGGAAAACCTACCAGCCCAGCAGATCCCTTCTCACCTGTTGAGAAAAAAGAACTTCGATTATGATCCCTCTTTTACATACAGAGAAATGGAAGCACAGAGAGGCTTACCCCAAATGGAAGTACTTACCCCAAATCACACAGCTAGGAAGTTGTAGAGAAGGGATTCAAACCCAGGTTTCTCTAACTCCAAAGCCCAAGCTGTCAGTCCTTACACATTATACTACTTCCCTGAACAGGGGCATGACACTAAGCAACAGAAGGGAGAGAAGAGGTGGGCACCTCTCTTATGGTTTGCCAAGTTAGAGCTCACGAGTGGCACAGAGAAAAAAAAAAAAGCCTAGGACCAGTTGTGTGACCTTGGACCAGTCATCTACCCCTGTAGAAAATGGAGATGCCTCCCATCCAACCTCTGGTGTCTAGCAGGACAATCACAGAAACAGAGCAATCGGGCTCCATGGTACGGGGATCATGCAAATGAATAAACACAGTGTGACAGTTACCGTCCTGTGTTTTACTGACAATGCTATTCAGCCCAGCGTTCCGCCTGGCCAGCAGTGAGGGTGATTCACCGTGGCTGGAGTTTTCCCTTAGTGCTAGCTTTGTCCAGCCATCTTACCACAAAAAGTCCCACCCACCTCCCTCCCTCCCCCCCCCTCAGCCCCATTCCCCCTTCCGAGGCAGAGAAGGGGGGCAAGCTGGGCAGCATGGATGACCGTTTGAGGCACCCACTAGTGCCTTTCTGAGCACTTCACTTACCCTTTGGACCCGGCAGGCCTGGCAACCCAGTGCTCCCTGGCAAGCCTGAGTTCCCCAAGAAGCCAATCAGCCCTGGAGATCCTGGAAGGCCTTTCAACCCAGGCAGGCCTCTCTTTCCAGCTGATGCAGGGGGACCTGTCTCACCTCTTAAACCTTTCTTTCCAGGATGTCCTGAATCAGCACAGGAGAGAACACGGGACAGCCGTCAAGCAAGGCTGTGTCCAGATCTGGGCCACTGCCCATTCCCATGGCTTCTGGCTGGCTGGTTGGCTGACTGGGTTTTGGAAATGGTCCTGTAACCATGGCCTCTGCAGGCTGCTAACTGGCAGAATTCTCTGCTGGCTGAAGAATTAGCTCTTACCACCCAGAGCACCACGCCAGTGGCTATTACTCTCAGCATGGCAGGGCCAGTAAACCCCCTTCTGATTAGAACTTCTTCCCCCTTTATGAATGTGGTGACACATTTTAGCCTCTGAATGGAGCTCTGGGAAGCCAAGGTGGCAACTGGACTCCAGTTTCCTGGTACTTCCAGTCTGAATCGCGATACAATGGCTGTTTCCTGAGCCAATCAGTGAAGTAGAGGTTAAAGCTGAGCCATTGTTTCAGCCTCCCAGGGAGCCATGGATACAGGGCTGCCCTTTTAATCCCTCATGCAAGCAGTTAAGTCAGCCAGTTCCTTGGCATTAAGGTTGAAAGGCCCCCTAGTGCCAAGTACTGTAGAAATCCCCAAGGCCCATTTGGTCTCCTAGGTTGTCTGAGACTTCTTTCACCAGGCTTTAAGTTGGTCAATGGGATTAACCTCCTGAGCTGCTGCCAGAGTGGAATGTTCAGGTACAAAGCAAGGAAATTAAAAAACCAAAGGATTAAATCAGTGACGACAGAGGTATTTGGGCCCCCAAGGACCTAATTGAATGGCTGACTTGGCTTTCTATGAATTGAAAAGCATCAAGTAGCTGCAAGCCCCAGGATTCTAATGGGGGGCTGTGAAGGGGATTCCACAACAAGGGAAGGAAATTCAATGGGGGCCAGCCCCACAGCATGGGCTTGGGGACCCCTGGCCTTGCCAAGGTTAGAGTGTATAGTCAGATAATTCCCTGAGCAGGAAAGCCGCGGGGGCATCAGTCTGTGGGCTTGTGTGCTGTTTTCTCACCTGGACGGCCTATGGGAAGACCCCAGAAACACATAAGGATAAAAGGGATTAAAAAGGATTTTAGTGGCTCTGCAAAAACTCAACGTCAGTCACGTGGCCTGCAGTAAGTGGGGGGTGCCATAGTCACTGAGGCAGGGGAGAGGAGGGCGGTGCAAGAAAAAGACAAGCTTCAAACACTAGGCCAGAAGCAGGGGGTGTCAGCCCCCAGGCCCAGTGAAGGCCACTTTGGCCACGGGCCCTCAGAGGTAGGCTCATCAGAGAGGCAGGCCGCCGTATAGTCATCCTCCTCTCGAGCTTCTCCCCTCAAGACCAAGCAGGCTCCCCTCGGTCCCAGCCAAAGCGGT